GAAGCCAATGGGAGTGTTTGCTTCCGTCAGCCTCCTGTTGCAGGGACGGTGGGGAAATGTGAAACAAGATATGTGGACTCCAGCTACATAATTTACATAGCAGGCATTGCGTATCTTCATGTGACATTCCCTATGAGTGTAGACCTGGCCTTAGGTGTGTGTCTATGGAATCCTATTTAAAGTGTGAATGTTGGTGTGTGTAGAGGGATCAGTCCCTGAAGCCAGTCTCTCTGGGTGACCAGATGGGAGCACCAAAACCATTGTTCTTGATGGCCAAAGAACAACGCAGACAAGCCCTGCAAAAGAACCTCCCCAAGAAAGAGACAAAAGCCCCATCAAGGAAAGAAGACCAGAGTCCCATCTGCCGTTTTGTGATGACTCACGGTCATACAATGCCCTGGGGCAGTAGGAGAGGAGAATATCTCTGGACTGAAACATATAAAAAGGTGTGTGCAAAACTATGGAACTGGGCCTTTCAGGTCTACAATCATACTCCAGGAGCATCGGTGGGTACCAACACGCTCTGGCTTCCCTCCTCGTGTCCAGACCACCTGGCCCGTGGACTAACGTGAGCTATTGAGGCTGGCGATTGTATCCCATCTGTAGAACAGTGTGCATGTGTGGCGGACAATGTTAGTAGCTCAGAACGGAAAATGAATTCTGCCTTCCCCATACACGCGGCACTTTGCCTTATCCCCCAGAAAAGATTCTGCTGGTTCTATTTCTATAAGTCCAACGCCAGCGCTCTGGACTAACCGGCTGGGTCACCCATGGTTTCTGAAGCTGAATGTGAAGATGGTGTACACATGGGATCCATCCAGCTGCCTGCCTTCTCCGGGGCTCAGGCAGAATCCACCCAGCCGCCTGCCTTCTCCAGGGCTCAGGCAGAATCCACCCAGCCGCCTGCCTTGTCCAGGGCTCAGACAGAATCCACCCAGCCGCCTGCCTTGTCCAGGGCTCAGACAGAATCCACCCAGCCGCCTGCCTTCTCCAGGGCTCAGGCAGAATCCACCCAGCCACCTGCCTTCTCCAGGGCTCAGGCAGAATCCACCCAGCCACCTGCCTTCTCCAGGGCTCAGGCAGAATCCACCCAGCCACCTGCCTTCTCCAGGGCTCAGGCAGAATCCACCCAGCCACCTGCCTTCTCCAGGGCTCAGGCAGAATCCACCCAGCCACCTGCCTTCTCCAGGGCTCAAGCTGCTGGGAACACACCAGGCATGTCCTCACCTCCAGTCCTTCCATGGGCACCTAGCGGGCTTCTGATGCCAGAGTAAGCCTGTGACTAGACGCCTGCCCCGCACTGGCTAAAGAAGGGTTAAAACCGAGGGCTGGAGCTGAGGAGCCAGCGGCTGTGGCCAGTATGCGCCAATTAGGGCCCAGCTGAGGGCTGTATAAATAAAGGCTCCTGGAGGGATGGAGACAGAGAGACCTTGCTCTGGCTGGGGAGCAAGAGGGACCAGGTTGCCAGGGAAACCGAAGAAGACAAGGCCTCAGAATCCTAGGGCTGTAGTTAGAGCAGGGCTGGGGAAGGGCAAGCAGAGCTGGGGATGCTCTGGGCAGGCGAGCTCCCAGGCTGCAGGGCCGGAAGCAAGGCCTGAGGGTCCTAGGGCTGCGGGGAGGCAGCCAGAGCCGCGGAAGGCAGCCGGTCCCCACCCCCTTGCCAATGATGAGCGGCCATGTCAGACTGCAGTTTGCCCCGGTCACTGAGGCGAGGAGGGCACAGTGGGTTGGGAAAACCCCAGAGTGCAGAGACACGGGGAGCCACCAGCCAGCAGGGGCTGCTCCGGTACCAACAAGCTAATTCCCCGAGGGAGCAGCAGGAGGCGCCCTTGTGGTGAGTCACACCTGGCCTGAGAGCTGAACTGACTAAAAGGGGGTAAAACCCACCGTGAGAGGCAAATGAAAGAAGGAAGGTCCCGCAAAGATCCCTCTCTGCGGTTTTCAATGGTAGGGGCAGCATTTGCTGGGTGGCCTGTTACAAGTCCCTTGTGAGCCTCTAAGGCCCACATAGGTCCAAGGGGATTGTGGGAAGGGCCAGGGGGACCATGATGGGGCAGCCAAGCTCACCTGTGGAGAAGCTAAGGCAGCCCGGGGCCAAGTGGAGAAGCAACACAGATCCCTTTCAGGCTCCCCTCCATCCGACCCAAGCACCACAATTTCTGTCCTCCTGGCCCTACCCCCTTGGAAAGTCCAGTGTGGGACCCTGAGATGGAGAAATGCTGCCGCCAAAGGCAGAGCCCTCCCTCTGTGTGGGGTGGCGGGCGAGCCATCTGCAGAGAGGCCATGTTTTTAGGCACCTGAGGATGCCCAACTCCCACCAGAGACAGGTGACCAGCCTGGTTCCCACCAGGCACCTTCCCGTAGCTCAAAGTCTGAAAATTGAGGCCCAGGTACTCCCGCCACCAAAAGCACCATCGGAATTGGCTGGATCCCTTGTCCCGCTCCCCCTCTGGGTAGCTCCGGCGGAGTATCCGGAGCTGAACAGGGATAGACTATGCACTATCTTTCCCCTGGCAGGGAGCTGTCCCTTTATTTCATGCAGAAGGCAGGTCATTGGGGCAGCACGAGGAAACCTTCTTATTTCTATGACCACAGGTTGTGGGGTCCCATTGCACGAGGCCCTGGGCAACCATCCATACCCTGAAGAGCTTACAACCTGAGTAGATAAGACAGAGACTGATTTGCTCAGTGCCACACAGCGGTAGAGCCCAAAATAGACTCCAGGGGTATGTCTACACTGCACACTAAGCCCAGGGGTCTGACTCAGGTTTGAGCCCATTCCGGCCACACAGAATCCATCTGATTTGGGACAGCAAACACCTGGCCCTGCTGGGGTGGTCCCACGGCACTGCAGGTCCCAGCCCTGTTGTTCTGCGATGCGGAAGCAGCTCGCGCCACAGGCCTGCGTCAGGAGGTCGGCATAATGTGGCAGGGTTGGCGTGGCTGGGAGACCAGGCCCAGCGGTTGCAGACCCAGGTTTACAGCGTAGTGTGGACACGCAAGCACGGGCCTGGAAGCAAATCCCAGATCCCAAGTGACCTGGATTGTCTATGAAGTGTGGGTCTCCTGACACTAGCGTGATCAGTTATAAAATAGCCCTGCTAGTCGGGGCTTTTTCTTATATAGGCATCGAATGCTCCCCCGCCTGTCTTGATTTTTCACACTTGCTGTCTGCCTCCGCCCCCCATTTGATACCCACTTCTTTCCCCTATATGCTCCCCACTGCATTGCTTCGATTTGATTTCTGCCTGCCCGGTACTTCTGTGCTCCAAGGCCTTTGATTGTCAGCCCCCCTTCACTCAGCACTGCGCGTATTTATTTTTCAGGCAGTGCTTTCGAGGCTCTTATCCAGCGTAGATAATGAGTTTTTAATTACGGGGATGAGAAGTGCCTGTCTGACATCACAGGCCACCGAAATGCAATCCATGTGGCTGCAGGAGAGACCCGATGTTTCCCTTCCCCAGGAAGAATCTCTTTAGCGTTATTTGGTGAGAAGCTTTGCTTGTACTCTTCTGCCTGAAAGAGGCTAATCTTGCTTCATTCCTGTTTTGAGGGAGTTCCTATCGTTCTATTCTGAATCGATTCCCTTTCTGCATGTTAGGTCACCCTTAAATCTATAGACGCTGCATAGAACCAATACTGGTCAATTTCAGGAGGTATGAGGGTCATTAAGCTAATACTGGTCAATTTCAGCAGGCTTGAGGATCATTAGGCTATATTTAACTAAATTCACGGGGCCAAATTCTTCTCTGATATAATTTCATTGCCTTCCACTTGGTCTCTTCTCCTTAAACTAGAGCAGCCTTTCCCAAATGGTGTTCCCCGGAACCCTGGGGTTCCGGGAAGTGAAAATAAGGGTTCCACGAGAAAATTCCATTACAATAACATTTTATGATTAAAAAAATAATTAATATTATGTGATTTTTTTTAAATATGTGCAATTAAACTAAATGTTGATCTCATTACCTTGTTTAGCATATGTTTATTATTATCTTTGCTTATTTGTGGTCTACTTTTTCAGCTCCGTATATTATGTTATTTGGAGTTCCGCAAAATTCTTTCGAGTTTAAAAGGGTTCCATGGCCAAATAAAATTGGGAAACACTGAACTAGAGTGTGTGTAGTGCAACACCTATCACGTAAACCTGGCAGAGTATTTTAAATACAGTTTGAACCTCTCTAGTCTGTCACCCTCAGGGCATGACTTCTTCCGAATGAGAGAATTTTCCTGCCTATGGGAGGTCAATATTGTCTAGCAGCATTACCAACACTTACACTGCTTCCTGGGCTCTGAGAAGACATTTAGGGGTAAATTAGAGCTAAATAACAACACAAAACACTTAGAACTAGGACTGGTGGCTATAAACAAAGTTTATGGGACTGTGGGAAACTTGGCCACACCCATGAAAAATGGATATCCAGCTAACTCAAATCATTCCAGACGACAGATGTTTCTGGACCAGAGAGGTCTGGACTAGAGAGATTCAACCTGTACTCTTTCTTTTTGCTCCCTGTGCTTTATACTCCCATTCAAGGTCACTAAATGTCTCCCATATTATTTGTCATCTCCATTTGGGCCTCAGACTGTCCTTAGGGTTATGACATGTACTAGGGTAAAACCTAGTGGCTTCAAACACAGTTATGAACCCAGCGTGCTAGGTGCTGTACAAACACATAGTAATAAACTGCCTCCTGAAAGAGCTTGCCAACTAGACAACTCAGTGGAAATAGTATCATCCCTGTTTTACAGATGGGGAACAGAGACCCAGAGAGATTGAGAGACTTACTCATAGCCCCACACACTACTGGTGGCAGCGATGGGATATGCATGCAGGTCTTCTGTCCTGTGAACCATACAATCACTTTACAGTGAATGCAGAAATTGAGCACTTGGGTTCAAGTGGATTGGAGGAGAAAGACCCAACAAAAGGCCCTGGTCCGTAGCTATGCAGAGAGGAAACAAGAGAACCCAGGGAAGGCATCCCAAACAAGCACCATAGCTGTAGTCACTTTTTTATTAAGTGTTGTTATTATAAAAATATATCGTAAAATGATGTTGTGTGTTTGTCCATTTACACTTGTGGAGAGAGATGTTGTCCCCTGGCAGAAACCAGTTGAGAGCCCAGACTGTTGGGTTTCAGGCCTTGGGGACGCTGAATGAATCTCTCTCGAGTCAACGCACACCAGAGTAAAGTCTGTGGCTTTGTAAGCAATGGGCAATGGCAGCAGGGCTAGTGAAAAAGTCGGTGATTGCTAGATCCAGAGGTCTCTTGTGTGAAAGAAAGAAAAGGCCGGGGCAGGGGGGAGGAAAGAAAATAATTGTCTCCATTCACCACCTGCCAACTTGACCAAGGAAATCGCTCACTCAAGGCACAGAGTCAGTGAACGTCCAGATCTCTCTAACTTCTGCTTTTAAAAGTCGCTTTCTCTTTGTATTGCCTGGGCTTGTTTCACACCCAGCCTCTTCCTTTCCAAAGGTGTGTCTCCAAACGCGAGTGATGCTTTTAGGTTCCATTGCATTCCCAAAGTAACAGCTACGGGTGTCTGATCCAAAACTCTCTCCCTCTCCCTCTCTCTCTCTCTCACGGATGATTCACTGCAAATTCTAGGAAGATGAGGCTGGGATCGAAAGTCCATGTATGCTACTTAGGGTTTCTTGAGGTTTGCCGACAGGACTGGCAGGTTTTCTGTCCACAGCTGCAGCAAGGGAAAGAAAGAAAGAAAAGCAAGTCAGTTGGCATGTGACACCTAGCAAATTTGACACTCTGAGAGGGAGCTGTGTTAGTCTGTAACTTTAAAAACAACCAGTAGTCCTGTGGCACCTTAGAGACAGGCAGACAGACAGATGTGTATGGAAAGAAAGAAAGAAAGAAAGAAAGAAAGAAAGAAAGAAAGAAAGAAAGAAAGAAAGAAAGAAAGAAAGAAAGAAAGAAAGAAAGAAAGAAAGAAAGAAAGAAAGAAAGAAAGAAAGAAAGAAAGAAAGAAAGAAAGAAAGAAAGAAAGAAAGAAAGAAAGAAAGAAAGAAAGAAAGAAAGAAAGAAAGAAAGAAAGAAAGAAAGAAAGAAAGAAAGAAAGAAAGAAAGAAAGAAAGAAAGAAAGAAAGAAAGAAAGAAAGAAAGAAAGAATCATGAGCTTTTGTGGGCAAAAACCACTTCCCCACTAAACCACATCTGCAGAAGTGGGTTTTTCCCACAAAAGCTCCTGATACTATTTATATTTTGTTAGTCTCTAAATTAAAAATTCCTTGTTTTTAAACGTGAGTTTCCCTGGGTTTGAACAAAGACGTTAACTGGATGTCGCATTATAACGCCAGCTTTCCCTGCATCGAACACCTCATTTACAAACTCTAAGCATGGGACTCTTCCAGCCCTCTGAATTAGCCTCATTAGCATCGGTCCTACAATGGACAGGTACGGCCCCCTTCTTTTGCTGTTCTGAAATACCGGGTTTCTGCTGTCCCTCTGCCCCTCGCCCTCTGAGGACGTGGGTTGTGCCCACGAAAGCTCACGAGACTCGCTGTTCTGGGGTTTTCTCTCACAAGGGGCCACAGGGCTGCCTGCTGTTATGTTAAGTTGCAGACTCGCACGGTTGCGCCTTGGCATCACGTCTCTTGCGTTTGTTTCGCTCCTCGGCGCCCTTCTGCGAACCCTGCTTTTTGCTTTGCTTGTCTCTGGCAAGGAGGAATCGCCGGGTCAATTTCACCTTCACACGCGAGTTGAGCAGTAATCGCTGTTCCCCCTTTTTATGTTTTCATTTTTGTTTTTAATCCTCTAGCAAAACCCTGCAGGGCAGGGAGACATTTCCTGCCCTGAAACAGACACGTCTCCTCCCAAGCCCTTTACTAGAATGATATCTTCACTTGAAATCCAGCGTGGACCAGAGAGGCAGGGACCGGGCTAGCGACCCACACGCGAGTTGAGCAGTAATCGCTGTTCCCCCTTTTTATGTTTTCATTTTTGTTTTTAATCCTCTAGCAAAACCCTGCAGGGCAGGGAGACATTTCCTGCCCTGAAACAGACACGTCTCCTCCCAAGCCCTTTACTAGAATGATATCTTCACTTGAAATCCAGCGTGGACCAGAGAGGCAGGGACCGGGCTAGCGACCCCCCCCCCCCCCCCCCCCCCCATTTTAAGCGATTGCTTCTTCTTTGTCGTTTATTTTAGAAGCAAGCGCGTTTTCCTTCCGCCCCCGCGGGAGGAAGAGCAAGCACGGGGCTGAGGGAGTGTGTGGGGGGGGTTGTCTGACAGCTCCCTTCCCGGATCAGACATTGGCCTTTCACCTGTCCGGCCTGCGGAGTTTCCCGCGGGCGCTGATTCCGCGGGCGGAGCGCTGACTCCGCGGTCAGAGCTGGGAGAATTCCCCCGACACGTGCTGGGTTTCCCCTCCTGAGGTGGCTGCTGGCTATAAAAGATTCCCCCCCACACACACACACACACACACCAGCTGCGGGGGTGCAGTGGGGTGAGCCCGGCCGCGGTCCCGACCCCGAGGTGAAATCTGAGGGGGAAACCAGCAAGATCGGGCCCTTTGGGCCACGCCGGGATT